ATTTCTTCTTTTCATTCCTGGCTGCTGGTTTGCATAAGTTCACACTTTGCGGTATCAGGTTTTAATGGTATCCCATTTAACCAACCAAAAAGTGGGTGCTGAGAGAGCCAAATCAAATTATAAAATCGTTTTGAACAATTATAATTGCGCATCTATTGGTATTTTAAAGATTTTTTTAATCACTTTTTGGTTAGCTTTGTTATTGATAGAATATGAAGTGAAATTTTGGACTACTGTCATTATAAAAATATATAATTTTAAAAGTAAATTTAATGAATATAAAGTATATACTTATGCATTATAATAAAACAATTGAGACCAAATATTATTTAAAAAAAAGGTTACGGCCCAACTTTCCACCCGACAAAACTACAAATGGATTATGCAAAATCCACGAGATCTTACCCATAAATAACGAGCAATGCCCCACGTGAGATGCCTTTTCGACCGAAACGCGATTAGAGAAACAATTTTTTTGACAACAAAGCAATTTAAAACATTTGCCGGGCAAAGGCCAGCGTAAAAGTCGAAATAGTGACGAATGATCATTGTACTTGAAGCAACAATAAACATTGAGAAACACACAGAGCAAAGGCAAATTATTTGTGTGTTTACTTAATGTGACGCTAACATTAACGTGAATTTCCACGAATCAAAGCAAACGTCAAAGCCCAAAAAATATGTGTTGAAGAAATAAATAAATAGATTCCATTAAAAAGTAAGACAGCATTTGTAGCACCGAACACGGTGCAAAAAAGGCATCAAAAGTAGAGAAATGGCCTTAATGGCACGGCACCAGAGCCATTTACACCTGCGGACACAGCGGCAAAGCCAAATGTAGCCGGCAGATACATGTATCCACAGCATCTGTATCTCTTTTTCCCCCACAACGCGGCGCAATGTAATGTAATTTCCTTTTGGCTGTTTTTGCGTGTTCGTGTAATTAAAAGCAACAAACGACAGGCTCGTGCATCAAAGGTGGCTCTGATGGGTGGGTTAATAAACAAACAAACAAACAAACAGGCAAACAGCCAAACTGGTTTCTCCCACACCTGTTTACCTGTTTACCCCGAGTGCCAATGATAAATGGACTGAGTTATGCCCAATTGCATCTGCATGTGCACTTAATATTGGCTTTTGAATGCGAAATCCGAATGGACCTCATGCGGGTTGAATGGGGGTGTAAAATTATTCGAAAAGATTGATATGAGAACATGAAAAGGATTTTATGATTAAAAGGGTCTCGATTTCTATCGAATCTATTATTGCACACCAAGAACAGAATTATCTTTGCTTTGTATTAAGTTGATTATCTTTCATTATTTTTATGGAGTTTCTATATAACCCCATGATTTTAAGAATACATTTTTATAAAGTGTTTGCAACAACTATGCCACAATTACAATTAAATACACAAAAAATTGTAATCCAGAAATTATTTGTAATCTAATAAATTCTTTGGGTTGGAAATATACAATTTTTATAATTGATAAAATGTTTTAATTTAAAATATTATTTACAATTTGATGGTAGTTGTCAGCAGAACCTTCTGAGATGTGTAAAAAATGGTATAAACCTTATGCCTTCAACATTTTAAGCGATTCGATATTTATGTACTTCTACACATTATACTTCCAGTTGCTTAAGTTTCAGAACAAAACTCGAATACGGTTAGATAAGATCACGTGCTGCATTCAAAAGATACGAGTATTTAGCCATAATCGATCTGCTGCCAAAACAAGATACATTATCCAGGTACATAACGAACATTTGCTGTGCACTGCCAAGTTGTTCCGGCACTTGGTCGATTCTGACTCCGTGTCCATTAATCAGCCGCCTCGCCAAAGTCACGTTTTGCATTTCGCCAGTGTATCTTTGTATCTGCGAGACAGCTTGTGAGTTGTGTGTGTGCGTGTGTGGATACACTTAATGCGGCTGCTTATCAAGTTGACAGACAGTGCGGCGACACCGCACAAACTACCTGGATGTGTCTGCAGGCTGGACTCTCGTGAGCCTCTAATTAAGTGGTTTCAAACTGGAACTTGAACTTTGCCGGGCAATTGTCATCAATCTTGGCCAGATACAGACACAAGCATACTTGCAGATGCAGATACAGATACAGACGTCAGTGAGCGCACATTAGTCGCCTGATTTTATTATACAATTCAGCAAATTAATCATTAAAATTTACGATTAAGCAAGGCACAAAAATCTTCATAAATTACAGCAGGCACAGGCGACTGCGATGGGTGTGTTGACTCTTTTCGTGCTCGTGCGCCATGAATGAAAACACTTGGCCACACCAATCAGGCAGAACCCAGCCCCTCGCCCGCCTTCTTGGCCACACCGCCCACTCAAAGGCTTTGTATATTTTTAGTGCAAATACACAAATTTGACCAAGTGCTGCTAACAGCAGAAGCGGGCAAAGCGAATCCAATGGCATCATAATATTATTGAAGCAGTTGCGTAGACCTGAATTGCGCTAGAGGGGGGTGTTGTGTGGGAAGACAAATGATTTAATAACAACTTTATTCAATCATTGTGAATTCCTTGGAAAAATAAATACAAATTATTGTGTGAGCTCTTTTTTTGTATTTTTAGTTAAATTTACAAAAGAACAGAATGGCTTCGACTGCTAAGATTCTTGTTTGTTAAGCCACACAAATTATTCAAATTTATGGAACCTTAAAACAGAGCTAAGCAGATCCAATAACATTATAATAATAATAAACAGATTGCTAAACAAAATGTACATACAAAAATAAGAAAAAACATATGGTTATAAAATATTAGGATTCCAAATTCAGTAATTAAAACTTTTTACTTGGTATTTTATTAACAACACTAAAATCATTGACAGCTGGTAAAAAATAGAACTTATATTCAAATTTATTAATAATTTCTTTTACACTTCTTGCAAATACTTTTTACAAAAACTAATCCCCCATGATACTCTATATTTATTTATAAAATATAAGGATTATAAGGATATAAGGTCAGTAACTAAAATTTGTTACAAGGTTTTTTATTAATTACACTAAAATCAGTGAAAGCTGATAAAAAATAGTATTTACTTTCAAATTTATTAAGAATTTCTATTAAATTTCTTGTTATCACTTTTTATAAAAATAATCCCCCACGATACTCTATTTAACTACTACTTTTGATTTTTTATGGCCCATTTGCGCTGTCTTTATGGATTTTGTCCAGCTGACCCCGCTTTCCCCGCCCAACGACAGTTGGCCTTTTAGCTAGTTGCGCTCTTAGCTTATAAATAATTGCAGTTCGGAATTTGTTTCATGTCTGTTCACTGCTACATGTGGCAATCAAAGTCAAAGTGTGGAAAATGTCGCAGACGCTTTTGATAAATGGCCGGGGCAAGTGGTGCGGGGGTCGGTCATCCAATACGACCTTGACCGCCTTCCCAGGGAAGGAAGCCAGAAGTTGCATGTGTTTGGTTTGCATTTCGGGTAATAAGTGCAGAGACCGCTGGCCATTAATTTGCCTGAATTACCTTAGCACCCTCCGGTCGTTTGGGTCTATCTCCCCACTCTCCCCCCTAAAAGCCAACTATCTAAGCGCTTCGCCAGCCAAGCGCACTACCTGTTGACTCATTAACTCAGGTTAGTAAACACACTGGGAAAAACGTTCATTAGATAAATACGAAAATGTACATTAAATTAAAAACTAATGATTAAGACAATGTTGGGGCGGGTCCGTGCCAAGAACACTTCCAAAGTTTCTCCCAAAGAAAGATATAAAAAAAACAGCGGGGTTGTGACGAGCTTCGTTTTCACTTGTGATCCGTTTCACCTTTTATTTCGTAATGGCTTGTAATAAACGTAAGCTTAGTCTAGAGGCCACCGATTCGGTTGCCAGTGATGCCGAACCAGCTATCTTCGAAACCAGCTAACTTCTTGTTCGACATGAACATTCTCCCCCCCCTCGCAATGGGGAGAGTGGCAGGTCACGAAAGGGAGCAAGTGCCTGAAAGGAGCCACCCCAAGGCTGAGTTCTGCGCCATGGGCAGTCCGTTCTGACTCGGGAGGATACCCGGCAGAATTAATTCCGCATACACGTCAGCTCCCAAGACGGCCGACACCAAGGAAGGGTGGAACCATCTGTCATCAGACAGAGTGATGGTTGGAAAGGCATCCCGGACCTTCGGATCCAGGGGCTTGGCCGGAGTTCGGGTCTGCATCTGGTCATCAACCAGCATTATCAGCTGTCGGGTCATCTTTGACGACTTTGAGCGGATTTCGGTGGTGCACACCCGCTCATCGCCCACGCGGGTGACGGAAAGGTTGAGGGCCTTTGTCAAAGAAACGTGAATGCGACTCACGGGGCAGCAAGGATCCACCAAAGCTCGGACGTCAAACCGTTTCTCCTCAGACCCCACCAAAATGGATGCCGTTGGCAAGATGCTCACACTCGTGCGCTGCAGGATAGCGGCGCACGATGGGCCCGTAACAGGGCTTCGGGTCGGGGAGGTCTCCTTTGGTGACGATGAGCGCAACGGCGTCGACGACGCTCTTGTCTGCTGCCGTCGGTCTTGGGGTCGTGACGAGCGTGGCGATGTGGACTCTTGGAAGTGCAAGAGGGTGTGGTGATTTCCACTGCAGACGTGGCACTTGGCATTGCTGCGACAGGATTGACCTGAATGCTCGTGAGCAAGGCAGTTCGCACAGTACTGGTTAATGAGGACTGCGCGGAGCCGCTTCACCGCCGGGAGCCGAAGGAAACGTTGGCATTTCCTCAGCGCGTGCACCCCTCGGCAAACTCGGCACCTGTACCCGTTGGTTGCGCGTGGCCGAGCGTGCTGGATTGTGGTTGGCGCCATCGTGAACAATCTGTGGAAGCAAGTAAACAAAGGTTAGGGGTTATGGATGATGTGAATGATCGTGACATGTATGAGGACTGACGACACAGGATGACATGAGGTTAGGACTAGTAGGATTGGATGTTAGTCGCTAACTCAAGAAAAAAAGGAAAAGGCAGAATCACTCGGAGCTGGAGGCCTCCATCGGAAGGCGGATCATCTTTGCGATTGGTCGTCGGATAATGCCACGTGCGGTAAGAACATCTGCCACTCGGGTCTTGCCATCCGCGCCTGGGCACACCAGTTGGATCCGCCCAAGCCGCCATTCATTTGGTGGTAAATTCTCCTCTTTTAGCACCACCATGTCCCCCGTTTGAATGTCTCGCGTTGGAAATTGCCATTTGGTCCTTTTATGGAGCTCCTTTAGGTACTCTTCTTTCCAACGTAAGCAAAATTGCTGATGCAGGGCCTTTAGCCGCTGCCATCGGTTTAAAATGGAAATCGGGTTTTCTTTAATCTCGGGCTCAGTCACGGAAAGGAGTGGCCCGCCGACTAGGAAGTGTCCGGGGCTAAGAGCTACGAGGTCTGCGGGGTCTTCGGACATTGGAGAAATAGGCCTCGAGTTTAAACAGGCCTCAATTTTGGATAGGAGGGTAGCTAACTCTTCAAAGGTGTACTTCCCGCCAGCTGTTTGCTTGTAGAAGTGTGTCTTAAAGCTTTTGACACCGGCCTCCCATAGCCCTCCCATATGAGGCGCGCCAGGAGGGTTGAAGTGCCAGGTCACATTTTGAAGACTGTACTTGGACAGGATCAAAGACCTCGTAGCTTCAATGAAATCCTTGGATAGGGACGTGGAGGCTCCGACAAATGTTTTCCCGTTGTCAGAGTATATGTGGTGCGGACAGCCACGTCGTGCGGAGAAACGCGAGAAGGCTGCCAGAAACTTCTCAGTGGTCAAGTCTGATGTAGCTTCTAGATGGATGGCTCGGGTACTAAAACACACAAAAACGCAGACATACCCCTTAGTTATCTTACACCCCCGACCGAGATAGTTTTTTATGTCAAATGGTCCCGCAAAGTCAACGCCCGTGTGGGTAAAGGCCCTGGAAAAGGTAGATCTTGCGCAGGGCAAGTCTCCCATCAGCTGAGTTTGCAGCTTTTGTCTGTGGATGGTGCACACTCGACAGGAATGAATGGTGTCTCTTGCAAGATTTCTCAGCTTAGGTATCCAATACTTGGAGCGAATCAGTCGGATCATCAATTGATTACCCCCGTGCAAGGATATGCGATGGGTAAAGAGGGCCAAAAGTTTGGCAAAAGTGCACCTTGCCGGAATGATGATTGGATGTTTCTCATCATAGCTTAGCATCTCAGATGCTCGTAGACGGCCGCTGGCTCTTAAGACACCGTGGCTGTCGATAAAGGGGTTTAGATTGGAGATCGTGCTGGAGACTGGAATATGTTGCTTTTTGCCTAAGGCCTTGCATTCTATTGGATACTCATTGAGTTGGGTGAGCACAATCAGCCTCTCTTGGACATCAGACAACTCTGCGGCAGTGAGTTCTGCCTTTATGTTAACGTTTTGCTTGCGACACATTCTTGCAAACCGGAATACGTAAGCGAGAACGCGTAAAGCCCTCTCGAATGCTGAAAAACGCTCCAGAATGTCATTTTTCGGGGGCGCTGTGGCGACGTTACACCTTATTGGGCGCTGTTCGAGCTCGGTTTCGAGCGGGACCGACGAATTGAGTGGCCACTGCTCCTGGTTGTGACGCAGCCACTCAGGCCCATGCCACCAGAGGTTGCTGTCCTTGAGCTCATGGACTGAGACGCCCCTGCTTGCCAGATCAGCCGGGTTATCTTCCGATTTCACATGAAACCACTGTTCTCTGTTGGTGAGCTGATCAACTTTCGCGACTCTGTTGGCAACGAATGTAGTCCAAGTGCATGCTGGCTTGCTTAGCCATGCCAGCACTATCGTGGAGTCTGTCCAATAATACGTATCATACTGAGTAGGAGGCATTTCGGAGAGAACTGCTGCGGCGAGTTCGGAGAGAAGCACCGCACCGCACAGCTCTAATCGCGGTATGGAAAGGGACTTTACTGGAGCAACTCGGGTTTTGGATAAAAGCAAGTGGGTGAAGCAGCCATCAGTCGTTTCGACGCGAACAAAGATGGCAGCACCATAGGCGCTCTGCGACGCATCGCAAAACCCGTGGTACTGCAGTTTTGCTGCTGGATGAAATCTTACCCATCTTGGGATGCGAACTTCTTTCAAAGTCTGATACCCTTCAAGAAAATTACGCCACCTTGTGACAAGATCAGTCGGAAGAGGCTGGTCCCAGCTTAACTCCCGCAACCAAATTTCTTGCATGAGCATTTTTGCCCGAACAATAAATGGCGATAACCATCCTGCTGGGTCAAATAGTTTGGCTATCTGGGATAAAACCTCTCGTTTGGTGTAGGTTGTTTGGAGAGAAATATCCATCGGCAGGAAGAGGAAACTGTCCGATGTCGCATGCCAACGGATTCCCAGAGTTTTTGCCATACTGGCGTCTTCCAATTCCAGAAAGTCGGCCCTAATCAAGTGTTCCTTTGGAATGCCCTGTAAAAGTTTCTTCTCGTTTGAGGTCCACTTGCGCAGTGGAAAGCCCGCACTCTCTAGGGCACCGCGGAGCTCTTTGATGGCTGAAATAGCGGACTGCTGCGTGTGGGTGCCGGCTAAAACATCATCGACATACATAAAACTAGAAATTATGTCACTTGCCAAAGGATATTGGTCACGTACATCATGAGCCAGTTGTTTAAGCACGCGTATGGCCAAAAAAGGGGCACAGTTAACGCCGAAAGTGACAGTGTTGAGCTCATAATCACAGAGTTTCCCCTCTTTATCGCGGAACAGGATTCTTTGGAAACGTGTATGATCGGAATGGACGAGAATCTGCCGATACATCTTAGTGATGTCAGCATTGAAGACGTATTTAAAGAAACGCCATTTGAGGATCTGGGTGGTTAAATCAGATTGCAGTACCGGACCTGTATGAAGGATATCATTTAGGCTGTACCCGTTTGACGATTTATTGGAGGCGTTAAACACCACGCGAACCTTTGTGGTCGTACTGTCTGGCTTGAAAACCGCGTGGTGCGGCAAGTAAAAATTGCTGGAGTCGTCATTTGGAGAGACTAGGTGCATATGACCTAAATCTAAATATTCCTGAATAACTGAGTTATACTGCTTTCTCAAAAGAGCGTTTTTACTCAGCCGTACTTCATTTCTAAGAAATTGCGCCAGTGCGATGGACCGTGAATGCCCCAGGTTTATTTTGTTAGGTTCTTTAAAGGGCAGAGAAACAACATACCTTCCTTCTTTATCCCTTGTGGTGGTTTGCTGGAAATTATTTTCACACACCGAGCTGGATTCCTTACCCGGCTTCACTGGAACATCCTCCACCTCCCAGAACTTGGTGAGGATACCGTCTAGTTGAGATTCGGTGACAGACAACCGTGCTGAGAAGGAAGATATTCTGTTAGTGGGATTCTCCGCGATTGGGCCGCAAAGAATCCACCCGAATATGGTCTCTTGGCCAAGGAGTGTTCCGCAAACATTTGAGTGGAAGCCGCCTAAAATGATCGACGGAAGGATATCGGCGCCTATGAGCACGTCAATTTGCGAACTCTGGTAGAAACTCGGATCTGCTAATTGGATGGGAGGGAGGTCCCTCAACGACCCTTCGGGTATCGTATAGGATGGAAGATTTCCGGCTAAATGTGGTAGCACATATGCAGACGCTTCGATTTGGATTTGTGGCTTACTGGGGGAGCCTATATGGAATTGGCAGCGCTTACGTGGTTGAGCAGCAACAGTTTGGTTTACTCCCGAAACTTGAGCTTGTATGGATTCGTAGGGGAACTTAATTAGGTTAAATAACCGTTCTGAAATAAAGGTCGCCTCGGATCCGGAGTCAATTAAGGCACGTGCTGAGTACCTAATGCCCAAGTGGCAGATTTCTATGAG